CTGTTTACATGACTGCATTTTTTACATTCAGACTGTTTACTTGTTTACTTGTATGTTGTATATTGTCTTGATGCACTGTCTGCACTTTGTGTTTTCACACTTTCTTAACAATCGAGAGACTGTCTGTAAGTAAGAATACCATTGTACCAGTACTGGTAGTTCAACACAATCCTAGTTTACAGTTTGCACAGCTCATTGCATTCAGTTATTTATCAGACACTGCATGGAGGCCGACTCTTGTCTTGCCTTATAGATCACCAGCCTAAGAGCTCACTGAGAGTGTAGTAATCTCTTGTAACTCTGGAAACCACAGTGTGTGTGCTGGGAAAACACAGTGCACGAGACTCTCAGCTGGCTTTCGGGCGGTAATGAAAAAACCTGAAATCAAGACAACAGGTTCTAAAAAAGCCCCTTTCCTGTCTCTTGTCTTTGTTTTCAAGAGTGAGAAAGAAGAAATGCACAGCAGCTATTTTTCACCATCTTTATTTAAAAAGAAATAACTAAAAACAATGGACTTTTTCCATTTATGAGCAGACAGTTCATATACAACTCCAGGACCTATGTTGTGTCTAAAAACCAAACAAGCTAATAGATCAAAACAACACCAACAAACAACATTGGTCATGACAGCGGCCATTCTGAAGACATCAGGTGAACTGCAGTGCTGCATTATCAGTCACTGTCAGAATGTTCCTTACACACCCCAAGAGTCGGTCATCTCTCCTGAGTTTCCCAGAGCAGCCCCAGTTCTCACCCACAGCCTGTACAGCTGCTCCTCTCTGGATAACACAGCCGCCTAGATGGGCCAGATGGTCTCCTCTGGTTTCTGGCTTGCTCAAGTCATCTGCCATCAGGCCACTGCATTTTTAGGGAGCTGGGTGTATGTTTCCCAATGTCCCTGAGTTCTGAAAGCATGTGCATGTGCGCTTTTCTTCTGGTGTGCAGATGTACGGCTCTCGGGCAGTATGTCAAGTGGGATTAGGAGGAGTTTGGCACCAGTACCCAAAATAAAACTGCCTTTGCTGGACAGCACCTGAAAGCCCAGTTTAGCTGGCTGGGAAGAGCACACATACTTGGGAATTGGAGTACAGATTGCAGAGGCATAGGCTAAACAGTCAAACAACAGCTTGTATGTGTGAATTTTGCAGGTACGCTACCTTTCACATTTATTGCTTGTCCAACTGGCACTGCCAGTTTTAGGAGTGGTTCTACAGCTTTGCTCTGGCTCAGTTTAAGGAATAACTTTATTTCTGTGCTCGGACCGTCAGGACTTTCCAGAATGAAAGCAAGGTTCCTGAACAGGTGTTGCGATGAACTCAATAACTGCCTCGCCCCTTTACCAACAGAAGAAAAGCACACGCTTAAAAAGGTAGAAAAAATACTCAGGGATTAAACACTCCCCTGAAACCCCACCTCTCTGAGCGCCTGATTATCTTATGAAGGAATTATTTGCCTGTATGGGAGGAATGTTCCTACTCTTAAGTTGACATTCTGTAATGGAAGTGCAGACCTGGGATCCTGGTGGTGTACAGTTGCAGGAATCTGAGAGGATTCAGGAGAGGCGAATTTCTCAGTGGCCCAGGCAGGGCAGGAGAGACACAATTGTTAAAGTAGAAATCAGCAAAACATTGACGAGAGGTTTGGGTTCTTAAGAGCTGATGAGGGTTAAGGGTTCTTAAACAACTGGCTTTGGATCCGTTTTCTTAAACCAACACTGAACTGACTGTCTACCAGCTGAGTAACTTGTGGTGAGAAAAAAAAATCGCACTGCAACATGGGGGTCAGTGTCAAGCAGTCCTGGTTGAGAGCTGGACACTGGGTGTCCACTGTCCTCCAAGTCTGCTCCCTACTGAGTGGGGTCTAATCATGGAACCTGAATTTTCTTGTTCTGATATTTTCACCCTTTAACTCTTTAGCCAAAATAGCCCCTGGGCAGGTGTGCTCCATGGGTTCACATCCTGAACATCGCACGCCCATGACCCACACAGTCTGGGGACGGCCGGCTCTTCAGAATAATGAAAAAGGAAACAGCTCCACAAGCCCTTCAACAAGAGGACTTGGGAAATGACATGCATTTATTGAGTACACAAAATCACTTCGTAGGTTTCACTTTATTTAAATTAAAGAAATAAACAAACACGGACATATATATTGCTGTTTCTTTAAAGCATTTTTAAAAGGACCAGAAGAAGAAAGGAAACCGCCAGAGAGATGTCGCTTTGAACTACAGTTGGTTTTTTTTTTACACACTACTTCCCACAAAACCGAAAGACAAATCATTTTGCCATTCCGTGGAAAAAGAACACCTTGTTCTTTTCGGTGCATCAGATGACGACTGCTTCGTCAACATTTCTTGTCTTTGAGGGTCAGGGGGACTTTGACACTTAAACGTCGCACAATATTTTGTCTCACTACACAGAATGACCGAGTATCAAAATCCACGGCACTAGTTCCAGAGAGCACTGCCAGCAGTCCAGCTGGGCAGCTGTGTCCAGTACAACTACAGTGCCCAGTCATCTCCTTTCCTCTGATCTCCGCTTGGTTGACTCGCCAGGCTTTCTTCCGTCCAGGAATGTTTAAGTTAACAGTTCATGTTTAAATATTGCAATAGTATCCATTCAGTGCTTCAGCTCGGTTGAGTCATTAACAAAAAAAAAATAAAACACAAAAAAACACCCACCCCACCTCCCCCCAGGCTGGAAAAGACGGAGTTCAGACCATTCCAGGGGGCAGTACATCTTCCCGGTGCCCTGGGCTAAATGCCAAGTGGCTCTATCGTGAAGTGCCACCAGCACCTCTGTTCTGTCTCATTAACCAGACTGGCCTCTTTTTTATCTGTCGGTTCCAGACATGAAAAAGAAGGCGCATTAACATCCCGGGACAGCAGATGAGCTCCTGCAGTGGGAACGCTTTAGGCTAAAAGTGCCCTAGAACACATATCCCAACCTCAGAGCTCACAAAGGGTGATTCTGCAGACCTTGTGCACTATTGCCTAAAAAGTAAGGCTCTTCAGCCTTAGCAACATTGAGAATTAGGTCTACATTAAGTCACCAAGTTCTTAAGATTCCATTGTGATCAATTAAGCCGGCAATTTATTAAATTAAGTAGAGATCATTTAGGACTAAGATACTAGTTCCCTTTCCCCCCTTGAGGACAAATGTTCTCTTAATGAAACCATTTAGATGCTTGATTCATCGACAGATTCCAGGTGTGGCCGATCTTTAAAAACTTTAAAGACTGCGATGGGGATCTCCGAGACCAGCGTTGGAGACCCTTGCCCCACACTCCTAATGGGCCCTCTCTTCTCTATCAAAGAAAAACAAGGGATCAATTCTAGAAATCCAAATTTGTCTGCTGATGGGCACAGGCTGTTATCAGTCTTTAAACACAGCTTTGTGTGGGGGGCCCCCAGCTGCAGTCCAAGTTGTGATTTCCTAACAGGCGGATGAGTTACACTGGGAGATTCCGAAACGCAGCAGGTACTGTACAAGCACAGCCAGAGCGGAGGCCACGCCCATTCCCCCGCAACCCAACAGGCAGGCAGAAAGCATTTGCACAGGCTGACCAGCAGCTGAGCTGTGTAGAGTCACGGTGGCTCTCAGCCTCCGAACTACTCCCGCATCGCACACAAGGACTTCCACAAAACCAGCAGCATGGCTCTCCCCATTCTGTGGCTCCCGAAAAAGAGAAAAACAGAAAGCCCACAGGGCTGAAATGACATCAGCGAGACAGTGCCCATCTTCCAGAAAGAGCTAAAAACCCCGCTAAAATACTAAGGAATGTCCTGCTCACACAATGTGGCCTAATGAGTGGAGAACTGGAGTTGGGACAAGCAGTGAGTGCCGGACACTCGCTCTCCCTTCTCTGCTGTGTGAAACAGAGAAACTGCTAACAGGTTTCTGAAATTGTGCATATCTCAAATTCCCTCTGCTAGGCCACATTGTTTTATATAATGCTAATACACGGGGTACAAAACCAGGAATAGAAAAACAGAAAACTGCCCTAGTTAATAATCTGTAATTCTGCTCAAATCAATATATGGCCTCTGTGAAGATCACAGCTGTAAACCTTATTCTGTTCTGAAATTTCAGGAAGTAGTTAAGCTCAAGACCTGCCTCATGTAGGTTTGGGGATCCTGTCCATCCTCTCAGACCTGCAGCGTTTTTTTTCAGAGAGGACCTGAGCAAAGGTTGCTGCACAGATCCACAGAGCCAAGTTTATCATCTTTAAATATGTCTCGTTTTCAGGAAAACAACAACAACAACAACAACAACAAAAAGCATCAGATGTCCAATTACTTAACGGGATAAATAAGGGTAAATCAGAAGCAATAACAACAACAAAAAAGAAAACTATTTTTTGAAGCAATCGCAGATCCCTGTTAACACAACAGCCCTTCTTGTGATCAGAAATGTAGTGTCTCTGCAGAGGCTGTTACAGGAGGGTATCTGCAATCATTCTGTCCATGTGCACAGTAGATGTCTTCTTGTTCCCTTTTCATGGTGAGGATGGTGTGTGTTCAGGGCACCTGGCCCTGAGTGTGATACCCCTTTTGTAAAACTCAAGTCATCCTCTTTGGCTCTGTGTCTCTGCTCACCCCTCCCCTTCAGTCAGGTATCCTGCAGCTTCGCTGCTCCCAGCCCGGCGTGCTTCCTATGGTCCCGACACAGGCAGGGCACCTCCTGCCCAGCAAAGGAATGCCACCGCGTGGGAGACGCAGCTGACAGGAGGGCGTTGCACAATGTTGGAGTGAAAGCCACCGACATCACATCACTTGCTAAAACCCAGCACAAAATAAATCACTTAGCCCTTGGAAGGTTCTAGCACACTGGCAGGAAGGGAGTCTGGAGGTCACGCCCCATGGGGTTGGGAGTTTGCGTCCTGGGACGAGGGCCCTCCCCGTCCCTGTCAGACTCCAGCAGTCCCGCCCCCCCCCCCCCCCCCCCCCCCGCCACTCTCTGCGTAAAGAAGTGTCACCCGGCCCTGACACCACCCCCCCCCCTCCTCTCTCTCTCTTGGGCTGCTCTCAGAGGGCCAGCAGGGTCGGGGAGTTGAGGGAGTCCGAGGACTGATCCCCACTGCTGCTGCTGCGCCGGTGGGCCTTGGAGCAGGACTCCGAGGAGGGCGAGGGGCTGTCCTGCTCCAGCATGTTGGGGTAGTTGAAGATGAGGCTGGGGGCACCGCTGGGGGTGGCGGCGGGGGTGGAGGTGCCCACCACGGGGGTGTTGAGGCTGTCCCCCTCCGGGCAGTAGAGGCCGCTCGTCCCGCCCAGGCAGATGGGCTTGATGACCGAACGCTGGGGCTTGTCCAGCTGCCCTTCATCCTCCTCCAGCTCATCCAGGGGCTCCTGCTTCACCACCACGGGGTTGAGGGGGTGCAGTGGGCCGGACGTGGGGCGCAGGGTCAGGGAGAGCGGGGCGCACTGCTGCAGGGCGCCCCCGTGGTGCCGTTCCTCAGAGGGCAGTTTGCAAATGGGGTTGTGGGCCACCAGCATGAACTCCAGCTTGTCCTTCTCCTTCTGCAGAGTCTCGATCTCCTTCTGCAGGCCGGCCTTCTCCTCCTCCAGCTTCTCGGTCTCCTGCGCACACAGGGCCAGAGAGAGGAGGCAGAGTCAGACAAGACAGGATCCCTCGCCTGCATCAGCTCTGCAGCTCTCTGCTTCAGGATTGCTGCCCCAGCAAAGGCACAGCTTGAACTCAGGCCCACATTCTGAAGCAGGAGCAAAGCATCGAGAATTTTCAAAAAGGGTACCATAGATGAAAGAAGGATTCTGCAATGTTCCAAACTCCATTAACCAATAAGCAAAAATGTTTTCCTCCAATACCAAGTCACTCGGTTTTAATGCTTAAATCGCATTGCAAACAGAATGAATTGGACAGAACTCTATTTTATGAAACCAAACACTTTCAGAACCACCTCCTCCAGATCCCGAGGCAGAGAACTTAATGACCAAGCCTTGTCAAATGAGCCTTTCAACAGCCCTTATATTGTTCCTATGCCATTCTCTGTCATTCAGGTTCATAAGGGTCTGCCATTTTCTCAGAAAGGCACACAGTCTGAACAGTTCTCTATTCTACAAGGTAGAGATGTTAATTGGTCACGACCTTCCCCCCACATGTGACCTGAAATGCAAGCAGCATTGCTCATACCAGCCACCAGAGGGCACTGCTTACTGAGTTCTTTGATTTTTTACCGCTTTATCAATATAGGATCGATATAGCAATAAATTAAATGGTTATATCAAGAACAGCAGTGGGGTGGATTGGAAAGAGCACAAGATGGCTAGTTCTGCTATAGATGCTTTAGATGAGATTTAGGGAAGCTTACAACTAAAATCACCTTCTAGGTAACGATTGGAAATAAATCTGTATGCATACTGTAGTGTAAAACTTTTGCAGCTCCTGAACTAATCTGCTGCAGTCAAATCGAATACAGTTAGCATTTGTCAGATCTTAAAATACCACAGCAATAATCCAGTCACACCGAGGGTGTGCTGTCACTGGAAAAGCAGGGGAAAACCCCAGTTAAAAAAAATTCAGGAAGGTCAATTTACAGGCATCGAAGTCCATGGTGCCATATCTCAGCAAAATGGGCAAAGACATCAGAGCAGAAGAAAAGTGGAATGAGGAACAAGGAAATGAACACACAGGAAGCAGAATAACATCCATGCTGTATTACTAGGGCACTATTTATGGCTTTTCTTTAGTGCGTATGGCAGCTGGGAGCAGACCAGCACTGCCAGGAGTGCACACTTCAACCCTGCAGGGAAATTCCAGCTTGGGTTTGAGTGACAGAGTCATCATTACTGTAACAGACCTAATTAATTCAATTAAAACATTTGCTGTCTGTCTGCCCTTGCTAGGAGGGCTGATCTCATCTCAGCCCAACCTTAACAAGGGAAAACCTGGAACCACAGCCTGTGTGAAAGAATTGATCTTTCATTGCATGAATACAGAAAGCCAAACACAGCTTGGGAGGTCTCACTGGGCTGTTTCATGTTGAACTTTATAATAGAGACTGAATTGGAGCACAAGGGTAAAATGCAAGGTAGGGACTTAAGGCATGCTGCTGGTGTAATATATCAGCAGGAGCACTGAGAATGTATGGTTGCTCGGCTATCCTACTACAATGACAGGACAGCGGTCTCCATTATTTGCTCCCGCACAAAAAAAGCTTCATTTTTCCAAATTCCACATTAACATCACTGACTTTTCCAAAATGAAAATAATGATACATTAAAATTTCATGTATTGCCATACTGTCAATTGCTTTAATTTAAAAAAAAAATAGAATTTGGCTCTAGAATAAGCAGATCTGAGAATCAGCCTGACAATGTTTGTTTGACCTGGTAGAGAGGGACAGGGGGCAGCAGTTGGATATTCAGCTCAGGTCCAGGGTGTGGGGGATAGGGGGCAGCAGTTGGATATTCAGCGCAAGGCCAGGGTGTGGGGGACAGGGGGCAGCAGTGGGATATTCAGCGCAGGACCAGGGTGTTGGGGATAGGGGGCAGCAGTGGGATATTCAGCGCAGGGCCAGGGTGTTGGGGACAGGGAGCAGAAGTGGGATATTCAGCGCAGGGCCAGGGTGTGGGGGACAGGGGGCAGCAGTGGGATATTCAGCGCAGGACCAGGGTGTGGGGGACAGGGGGCAGCAGTGGGATATTCAGCTCAGGTCCAGGGTGTGGGGGACAGGGGGCAGAGTGGGATATTCAGCGCAGGGCCAGGGTGTTGGGGATAGGGGGCAGCAGTGGGATATTCAGCGCAGGGCCAGGGTGTGGGGGACAGGGGGCAGCAGTGGGATATTCAGCTCAGGTCCAGGGTGTGGGGGACAGGGGGCAGCAGTAGGATATTCAGCTCAGGTCCAGGGTGTGGGGGACAGGGGGCAGAGTGGGATATTCAGCGCAAGGCCAGGGTGTGGGGGACAGGGGGCACCAGTGGGATATTCAGCTCAGGTTCAGGGTGTGGGGGACAGAGGTTAGCAGTGGATATTCAGTGCAGGGCCAGTGTGTGGGGGACAGGGGACACCAGTGGGATATTTAGTACAGGGCAAGTGTGTGGGGGACAGGGGCAGACACTCACCCCCTGTAGCTGCTCAGTCAGCTCTCTGCGCCTGTTGCGACACTTGGCAGCAGCCAGTTTGTTCCTCTCCCGCCGCACTCTCCTCTTCTCCTCCTCCTCTGGAGTCAGCTGAGGAAAGAAGCACATAGTGTGACTTGGGGTAATCACACACACAGGACAGACAGCGCACACCCTCACTTTGTTTACTGACAGCAAGTGTGCAAGAGCAGTACTTGTACCTGTAATTTGGCTTAGGTGGGGACTCAACATGAGTGTTCAGGACTCCAGCACTCTGTCAAAAAAGCTCACATCTACAGCCCAATCCAGGTGCTTTCAGCTCTGTCCTTTAAAAAATACACTTGAAATAAATGGTCCCCCAATATATGCAGTATACACATAATAAACCATCAAGCAGGATTTGACTTCTACAAGCATGATGCATCTACATTACTCTGCATTATTGACAGACTCTGAACTAAAAAGGCCAGGGAATATTTAACAGTAGGAGCCTTTTCTTTTTTAAATTTAGAATTGTGCACACCACCTGTGTGCTTTTCAAATCTCTACTTGCAGGTACGAATCCCTGTGACCGCACACGGGGGAGGGACAAGGGAGTGTAGCTAGATTCTCCTGACTGGCCCACCTTTGAGCCACTCATCTCTTAACACATCTCAGGCAGCACAGCCCCATACTGGAGGATCAGCTCGGACTGGAGGAGGGGGTGTCCATCTCCGGCAGCACCACAGGCGCCCAGGAGTCCTAGAGAGCCCCAGTCAACTAATCCCACACTATCTTAATGCCGGGACCAATTAGCGAATCTTGGTCCCAGTCGGCTAGTGATATGACCTAGGCTTGAACCTCGATCTCACGGATCCGTGATCATGGGCACAAGCGCCTCATGAAAAGCTTGTCCGACCCTGTAAATCCCCTTGTTTTTAAGGGGATGTGTGGGATGAAGAGCAGGGCGCAGTCCTGCCTCACCTGCTCGTCTCTCCTGCGGCGTCCGCGAGTGTCCCCGATGGAGCGGATGACCCCTGGCCGGGCAAGGGCCGTGTGGCCCAGTGACCCAGGGCCGCTGGAGCTTGGCAAACCGTAGGGGTGCGAGCGGGAATAGGGGCTGGACATGGAGGTGATGACAGTGGGCTGGACCATCCACTGAAGGTCCTGGCTGGTGGTGATGGCATTGATGGTAGGGATGAAGGCACTGCTGGAGCCGGGCATGTCAACGCGGTACTTCTGCGGAAGGAACACAGAACAACATCAGCCCAGGGTGACCGGAAGTGCAGCTAACAGGCAGCTCAATCAGACCTCAGATGGGCCAAGCAGGTCTTTTCCCCCAGTCCCAGGGCACAGTGCCTCAAGGAAATTTCCCCAAGACAGAAAGGGGAAGGTTTTAAAACCTGAACAGCATTCCGTTTCTTTCAGCTTCGCAGGGTTTTATCATAACCATGAAAAAACATGAGGAAACGCAAAGGATTTATTCGAAAGTCCTCCTTCTTGGTTTTAAACTGGGAGAAGATGCAGTCTGCTCAGGAAGAAAAGAGGCGGCATCACTGGGAAAAGCCACAGCTGCTGCCCTGACTCAGAGCTTCCATCGCAGAGCATGATGCAATGTAGCTGTGCTGCTGGCAGGAGTCTAGAAATAGGAGGGCAGGGATTTGCTCAGATTTTCACAACAGGTAAGGCTGGAATCATTAGCAGGCCTTTTTAGTCATTAAAAGCATCCATAGGATTACTAACTGAGCTCCAAAGCTCAAATCCAAGCATAATGAGGACAACTTACACGAGAACCACTCGTGCTAAATCTTTTAGATAACATGTAAGGCAGTGTTACACTTAGTTGCCTGTTCTGCGGCAATGGAAGTCACTGTGTAATCTCATCCAGCTAACAGTTCTTTGCTGTCCAAACTGAGAATGAGTTATTGCTCCCCCTACTCCCAAATACTGTAACCAAATTCCATTCAGTCTTTCCCTCTTTAATACATCTAAGATATCTGGGTCATGTCAGGCTGGTCTGGTTTGGTTTGGGGACAGCAGGGAACATTTATATGCAAACATGTTTTTACCATAAATGTTGACTGTTTTTATTCTTGTATCCAAGATAAATAACTCAAGCATGTCTACAGTATGTGCTTGAACACTGAAGGACAGTGCAAAATCCCATTACAAAGCCCACATGGAGAACAGGAAAGAGGATTTCTTGAAGACAAATATGCAGTTCACTTTTATTATTTGCGGTACAGTACCCAAACTAGAAGATAGGAAAGTGTAAGAACACAGTACATCTGTATCTGTGACATCGCTTTTATGTCACTTCAACGCTTATAATACCACAAACAAGTAAAACAAAAACAATTAGTTCTATGCATTGAAGTAGAATTTCCAGTTTAGATTATGGGGAATCCAGGAAATACAGTCCAATCTGACATTAAAAAAACAGTCTTAAAAAAGCTCATTTTGAGGCCAATGGACAAGAAAAGAGTGTGCAATAACTTGAACAGGCATCTTAAACACATAGGACATTTCTAATCTGCGACATTCGCACAGCGCTCAGAATTAGTACACCCTCAAACACTAGTTTCCCATGTCCTCTAAAACAACAGTAAGGTTAGAGTGGTGACGAGGCTTCAGTAGGATAAGTCCAGGCATGTTATGGACAGGCAGTCTAATTCTCCTGTCTGCTGAAAGTGCCCTGACTCCAATCAAAATCCATCCAGATCTATCTAGCCCTGAGGCCAGGAACACGCCACCAGGGGAACTATGATATTTTCACAGGACAGCACCTTCTCAAGTAATCAAGGCACTGCGTTCCTACGCAGGCCTGACAGGTCATGACAAGCGCAGGCAACATCACTAATGCCTTTTGACCAGTGTGCTTCAGTCCCAGCAGCCCACATCCTGCTGTTCCGGTTCTGTGTTTGCTTTGGAGGATATTTAAACACCCCCATCCTGCCAGACTGGGAAAGGCCAACTGCTCTCACTGCAGATCTTTGCGGCAAACTGCTCAAAAGGTTTGAAGTTGGCACTGAGGCACTGGCACGCAATATCTGCCATCTCATGCCAGGTTTTAGGGCTTTCAAGTCTTTTTTTCCCCCCATGACTGTGTCTTTTTTGGCGAATCCCATCCTATTTTTTGTTTTTCCTACACGTCCTGGTTACTTTAGGTATCACTGCGGCACTCCGAAATACCGTGACAGCTTGGTCCAGCAATATCTGACCAACAGGGGAGGGAGGTTTCAATGGAGAATCTAAGCACTTCATTTCTTAACACAGGTCACAGCGTAAAAAGCCACTGGCCTTAATCTGATCCTGCAGAATCATATCTTAGATATCTGGGAAAACCAAAAGGAAGACAAAAGGGGATTTTTTTCTTACATGCAACAAAGAACAAGTGCTCATTGTTCAGTCCAGACCAATAATGAAGTGCTGATAGTGTAAAGCACCCATTGACAAACACAAGCATTATAAAACAGCTTTGTATCTTCACCGATGTCTAATTCCAGTAATCCCCAACTGTGGTGGAAAAATACCCTGGGATTACAGTGAGACTTGGCACACATTGTGTTGTGTAACACTCAGGTTTGGCGCTCTCCAGAAAAATCTGCAGTGATCTCGAACCATCCACTGGAACATTTTTCATTTCCTTCTACAGGTGCTGTAATTTACAGCTCTGACCCCAGGACCAGCTGGTCACAGCACACTGGGTCAGTGGACATGTTTCAGCTCGTTCCCAGCTGTTGCCGATGTCCACACTCAGCTTGAAATGACAGGTTTAAACCTTGAAAATTACAAGAAAAGGCAAAATTCCATGGGGGCACTTAAAAGGCTTTGTTGTTTTCTGGCAGTATGGTATTTTATGGTATCAGCATCAGTATTTTGCTGATTTTCATTTATAAGGGGATTCAGGTGAAATCCAGTTACTCTTAGACGGCAATAATCAGTTCATGATGATTGTAGTACAGCACAGCAAGGTGAAGGCAGATCAGACAACCCCTCGAACCTGACACCACAAAGAGTGCACACTTACAGCCTAAATTACGAAACGGTGGGACACGTGACGGTTTACCTTTTCGACTGATTATCGACTGAACTGATCCCTAAGCAGGTTTGACGGTACTAGAGCAATAAATGTGCAAACCTGATAATAAGTGAACAGAAAGCTACAGTTTCAGCAGACCGAGGCAAGACTTATCTCATTTTCAAAGCAGACGAATGTTATATCGATATGATGTTTAAACACAGCCATTTCCTCTCAAGAGAAAACGGTCATTTACTTCATTTTACACTCTTGTTTTCCAATGGCTAATCTAAACTCAACAAGCATGACGGAGCAGGTGATAAATCCGTAGAGAGCTGAACCGCCACAACTGACTCGAGTCAAAGTGAAACAGCCCCCGAAAGAGGTGAAAAAACGATTTAGAAAACTGCGGACGACGAGGAGTTCACCCCAAGACCAGAGGCCTTATGTTAGGCGACTGCGTTCTGCTTTATGTAATGGGTAATGGGAAGACAGACCCTTGTTTAATGGACCGTTCTTTGGACCAAGTGGTCTGAACTCTTTATGAATTGTCGCATTCGCACACTTGTTTAGGCGAAACTTCTGCGTGAATTCTTTTACGAGCTGGTTTTAAATCACTTGGTCGAGACCTCAGTTATGTGACCAGAATCTTAGAAATGACGCCTCGGATTAATGGAGTCAAAAACGGTTGAATGCTAAATACAAGAAATCCTGTAACAGCATTTACGTCACCGTGTTTCGTAATTTGGAAGTCACAATGAAAAATGAAAACACACCGTACATTTCTGAAGAATTTAAAGTTTTGCATCGGGGGAAACAGTTACGTGTGTGACATTTCGTGTAATATCATCATAACTTTTTTTTTTAAATGCGATGTGAGTAAAATATGTGCTGAGTCAGTGCTCTATTCCTAAATCGTAAATTCCAGTAAAGCAAGAACTATGACGCAATGAAGACCGGACAAGGAGCCAAGAGATTGCAGCCGTGCGGGGTTGCCATAAAAATTCCACAGCATTCCCAGAACCAGGCGGAGGCGCTGCGGACGCAGGGGAATGGCGCAAGGGGATTATTTTAGGAAGCAGAGATGGGGAGGAACCGTAACTTCTGGGAAGGGTCTATTTTAACAATGCGGAATCCTGACTCCGGGTATTAAAAACAGAAGATGATGAGGCAGCTGTTAGAATTTCAAAGACCCTGCCCTGGGGTTACTTTATAAACGAACAATAAAACGCAGAGGGAAGGAAATTGAACTTTTGAGAACCGCGGAGGACTCATGTAATATTTTATTATCTGCAAGATCTCATCCTTGTGATTCCACATGGTCTGTTGCCATTTGTAGCTGTAATTGTAAAACTGTACTGTCTGAGGCCACTATTCCCATATCCCTAACATTATTCATTACTGTCTCGCAAGAGGCGACTTTATCTCTCTGATCTTGCCCCTATTGAGCATATACGGAGCACCTCAGCCTCCAGACATTACGAAACCGCTACTCCTATGTTTTCGTAATCTTGTTGAAGCTGCTGTTGCGCAATTTTAATTCTTGCTTCTGAGTCGGGACCTAGCCAGAGCGGTCAGAAAACCTAAAAAAAAACACGTCAAAAAGGAAATCGTACAATGCAAGCTGTGCTTCACAGTGAAATGTTTTCCCCGTAGTTGAGTCTCTGCTTGTTCTTGGAAATATCCTGGAAAATCGTATATTTGGGTTCTAGTCCCGGAACAGTACACATCCTCCGCTAAAAGCAGTCAATAATCAAGCCCCCCTTCAGGCCCCTTCCCAAACACCGCGCTTGGTAGCTTTCCAAGGACCGACCAATGATTCAACCCCTCAGACACTTTCTGCTTTACGGAGCGTTTCCCAACGAACAAATAAGGCGTTTCAACACTTCCTTCTGTTAGATAACGTTGCATCATTTCAGACATTGAAAAGAAGGTGCGACAGGAATGCCAGGAAGTCTGAGGATGTCATTCATAAAGCGTTAAGTATTTAAGAATTAATGACTAATACAACTCCCATTCCTGACCCGACACAGCTGAACTCTCTTTTGTGCTATTTGAAACAGCTTCCAAATGTATCCCGAATTTAAGGTTTTTAACAGATAAAACTGCAAATTCCAGTTTATCCATACACTAAATGGGCTTTGAAAACAAACTCTTTCAATGTAAGCAGTTTGCCCACATTTTTCTAGCTTTTGGAGGTCCGCCTTAAGCAGAACCACCGCTGCTGGAAAATCAAGATTTACAGCTTTGTTCCCTGCTGTGCTGTGCCAGCGGGAGAACAAGACTCCAGCAGGTCCTGCGCTCGTGGGAATTACCACCGGGCCTGGGATGAGCAGTCATGCCTCTTTCTCTGGAAGTAACACCCGAGTCTGCAAACACACTCCACTTTGAAATGTTGTTCTGCAGTCCTATTCCTTTCTCCTCGCTCAGGCCAGCTCCGTCAGGGGCCCAGCAATCTCCCTTATTTCATTGACAGTGGCCAGCCGTGTACATTTATGAAACAGGAAGACTGATCCTCACTGGTCCTCAACTGGTCTGAACATCACTCCCCTTGAGTGGTCGACCGAAGATCCCTTCGTGCTGATCATTCCCCAAGACTACCTCCACTGACCTTCCTCAGTCTTCCATCAGGATTACAGGACTCTTAATCCAGAGAGACATCAGAAGCCAAGGTTGTCTTTAAACTGGGGCCGCATCTTCCGGTTGCTTTGTAGACCTTCTCCATTCATTCACAGATTCCAGCTTCCCAGACCTCTCTTACCATGGGTTTCTCTTCCTGTGGACGCACTCCGTCCTCCTGTGTTTTATATCCCTGCTCCCTTCCTCTCTCTGCTTCACAGCTGAAGATGGCTCAGTGGCTGAAACGATGTGCATCTTCCTACTTTTCTGTGTGGAACTAACTTTAATTTGTTCTTTTGAAGCCAATGCATGCTGACACGGCTTCCCACTCGAACCTGTTCATATCCCCACATTTGTCTAATTTCCTGTGTACAATCAAAGCCTGTGTTAATATCGGTGACTTTCTGTGGTACACCATCAGTCCATGGGATCAAATGACACAGCACTGGTACTTGTGACAGTACTGGGGTCCAGTCCAGCACACTACAGTAAACTGAACAAGACTGTGTACAAAGTTTATGTCTTCTCAGATCTCAGATCTTCACAGATCTACCCTTTGGCTGTGTCTTTTTCTGAACAAACCCCACATACCACCACAGTGTCATACGAACTGCAAGTCTCTATGGATAAGAGTGACTGTGAAGCAAATTAATAATACTGCTCTACACATTCATTTCCAAACCCTTCATCAAGTACCTAGCAAATGAAAATGAAAACAAATTAACAGCCAATATGTTCATGGCAAGAACTTGATTTTATAAACCACCATTAAAAAATGATTTCTTCCAATAATCCGATAAAGACCTGTGGTCTTAATGTGAGCTATTCATGACGGCTCTGAGGCTTCTGTAAAGGTGACAGTAAAAACTCAGGGGTGTAGAAGCAATTCTTTACCTGATGCCTATCCAAACCGATTCTCTTAAACAAATGAAAATATGAAAAAACAAACTGATCATCACACATTTCCAAACAAAAGCCCTTTTGATACTGTGCAAGACTCATCACAACCCCTGTATGAGCAGAGCCAGAGCAGATCAAGGCACTTTGAGCCAGTCCAGTTTTCATGCTGCATCGCTGAGGGTCTGAGCCCCTGTTGTCAATGCCTTTGCAATTCCTATTGATTTTACAGTGTTAGAAAGCATGTGCTCTCTTATCCAACACAATAACTTTCAAAGCACATTATGTTCAAAACAAGACTCTGCATCGGGCAACAAAAACATCTGGAGGAAATTCCAAAGCAGAACATTCAAACAGCCCTCAGGATAAATTCTGAGACATATCGCGGGCATGTTTTATTCCTCATTCCGAAGTCACACCACAGTCTGCTAGCGCTATTCCACACGGCCTCGCGCACCGCTCATTCTCCGTGATCAGGATCTGTAAGCATGGGTGAAAGAAAGACACTGGGACCGAGTTTCTATAAATAAATGGATTTGGTAGACTGTGTGTTTTGGGGAGAGGCTAATGGAGGGGACAGCACATTAGCTGTCATGGGAGTGACTTACGGATCAGGCCGATACTAATACTCTAATACTGCCTACTGTTCCCCAATGGACTCTGCTCACGCCATGCTCACAGAACTCAGCCTTTTAGTAGATGTTATGGAAGAGCAGAAAGCTGGCACTGAGTTCAGCAACACACACTGGACATCCCAGTATTAGTTTATAAGAAGTATTAATTGCATGTCTATAGCGCTTTTTGTCCCAAAGCACTTAATGCTCTGTTAGATATAGGAGAAAACCCACTGAAGCACAGCTCCCACCTGGGTCACACCTGGCAGCTGTTCTGCACCAGCAGCCCCCACTACACAGCAGATTGAGTGGAGGAGCGAGAAACAGCTTCACCAATTGAACTTCAAGTACCAAGCCAGAGTGGAATTCAGCCAGGACACTCTGGTTAAAAGCCCTACTCTTTCAAAAAGTGCCATGGCACCTCTAATGACCAAGTAGTCAGGTCCTAAGTCTAACATCTCACCCAGACGATACCCTGACCTGCAGCACTGCATGCCCGGTCACAACACTCAGACATTTGGGAAATTTCGGATCTGGAATGAAGAGTGCCATCTACAGGTGAACCATTGCATTGCAGGAACCAATTATTAAAGCCCTGCTCTGCTTATATCACAAGGGATTTGACATTGCCCCTTAACTTTCTATCTGCCACTCTGAAAACATTTAATCAAATCAATAAAGTACTAGACATCCATTACTCAAAGACTATTTAGCATCTATATTATATATATATTGCATCTATATATTGATAAAACGACACAACATTTAGTACAGCAATGGATTCTCCCACTGATGTCAACAGATGAGAGACATATGCAGCAAACATTCCTCCAGTGTGAGACCCTTCTGAGTCTGGAGTTCCACGAATGATGGCAGAACTCATGCTGGTAACAGCTGAGATTTAAGTAGATTGCTCCTGTTCCGTTACTCCTGCTGCTCCGTTTCAGTTTGGCACCATGATTGTGTTTTACCCTGCTAGGGGTCGATGGCTGGGACACAGGCACTTCTCCACCCCAGCGACAATGTCTTCCCAAACACTGTGACCAAAAACCGCATGCTTTCCCATCATCCTCCAGCACGGAGTCTGCCACTTGCTCACCATCATCAGCTGAACGCCCTATAGAGGACATCAGCTCCCTCAAGTCTCTCTATGTCCTATAGAGGAAAGCTGTTGGCTGGTAGAAGTCATGCAAACAGTGTAGAGTGCAAAGTTATGGAAAGGAAGACCGAGCTGTGGGACTGGTCATGGTTACAAGCTAACAACTGTGTGGGGTTTAGATAAGAGCACCAAGCGATGTCTTACACCTGTACCCTATAGAAACTGCCAACGTCTCAGAATGATCAGCAATAAGTGCGTAAAGGAATGGTGGAGCCAAATGCCAGGGCCTTCAGCACGCAACAACGGTATAATTGGGATTTCCACTAGATGTCATCCTTTTATTAAATTCTCTACAGTACAGGGCCACTGTATTTGAAACCCTAAAACACGCTTTCAATAAAACAGCGCCACTGTGTTGCTTCACGAAAACCAGAAGTAAATCTGGTTGTGATTTTGAGTTCCAGTGTACTAATGCCTTCTTGATTGGTTCCATGAGAAGCAGTCTGGGAATTTTAAAAAGTACCCAGGTACATTTACATAAGGAAACCACCCCCGCGGACACAGCCCCCCTCTCCCCTGTGCGCTCGGTGCGCCCGGGCACTCCGCTTTCTATCCAGAAGCGCAGCTTTCCTGACCGGGAAGGTCAGGGCACCTTTGTTGTCGGATACCTCGCGATTTTCTGTGGGCGAGTCAAACAGTAACTGTCTTCCGTCATATCAATCAAAACATGAGTCTGTGTTGGATAAACATAAAGAGCTCAGGAAAAAAAAACACGTATATCGTTATGTGGCGCTCCTAGCTCCTAAAATGTCTTTAGGACGCTTGACCAGCTACCCCACAGCACTTCCCAAAGCACCGAGGAAGTACTGTATGTCGGCGGAACTCGTTCTACTAATACTTCGTCGATCTATTTAAATACCCGTCAAATTGCAAAATCTAGATTTACAGCGGTATTTATGGCTTTTGTATTTAGACCTTTACCTTACGAAACAAAAAAAAAACCCAACATAATAAGGGTAAAGACTAATCCAACTTAATTTTCATGTTATTGTAAGCGAATGAAAAAAAATCAGCTCTCACCCAAGATTCCTGCAGCATCTTCAGGTTTTTGGAGTTTTCAGCTTTAGAGCTCAACTTGAAATCATTCCTGTGCGGTACTTTTCAGTTCTTCAGAAACCTGCTGTCGTCGCCAGATTAAAAAAAAAAACTCGAAGTCCTCCTCTTCCTCCCCGGGAATAAAAAAAAACTAACAAAACACACGTGGGTGTTTTATCAGACTCGCAGTTACATTGGAATCCTGATAGCGGGTTAACAAGGAAAGCTGGCCACTGAATCAAGTAAGTTTTTAGTCTGTTTACAAGAAGTATCGGCGATGCGGCCAGATGGAGCCGGAATTCTTTACAAGAGCATGTGACAGATCCCGCTGTATGGCGTGTGTCTGTAGTGACTTGGAGGAACGATGTGCTGTTGCAGTTTCAGGGTTCGGACAGCTCATCCCACTCAACTCTCAACCCTGCCTCGGCGCAGCGCGTCCTGTTCCGCGCCCACTCGGTGCGCTTTAATAAGCTGGACTGCGATGTAGCTACTCTGAAGGGCTCAGAAATTCAGCACTACTCAGTGAGGGTCAACACTCTTCGACCAATCACCTACGTTTTTATTAATTGACCGCCTTTTTTAGAGAATCGTCTCGCAGACACTCGTCTGTTTTAACGTGGGATATTAAAATATCGTCTGTTTCTTTCTCTAAGAGCCTTTGTATCATTCTTGCCGCTTAGCTAACTGGCGTTTTCCGTCAGATCGCAATGGATATATGCTCCCGGGAAATAATTGCGATTTGTTTGTTTAACTCGGTTGTTAAATTTTCTTGTTTTTTTTTTTAGTCACAGCATTTTGTTGGAGATGGTAAACCTCGTCTATTCTCTATTAACTATTGATAACGAAATGCGGCGGAAAAATCTTCGTTTTTCGGAAGTAACGCCGGGTCGGAGTATTTAACTGCATCATATTAAGTAGGTGCAGATAAAACGTCTGATTAGCAGCTTATAGAACCATATTAAAACTTAAACCGGGGTTTTCAAAATGCTTTACTCTACGTCTTATTTAGTGTTTCTTTAAAGTCATGTTCGTACATGACCATTGCAAGTTGCCGAAAAAAAAGTTGAGAACTGTTGTCAAAACGCTAATAAACTACAAAAAACACACAGTTCGCGTTTTTAATACAAGATTGTGTTGTCTCTTAGAACAGCGAATCCAAACATCTGTCTGGAGCCTAGTATTCTTTGGTAACCCACTTCTTGTTTCTCTTCATTAAACAAAACTAAAACCCCCAAGCAGCGACTGGTTTTGGCGGAGAAAGAGTTTGCGGAAATCGCTCCCGATACGTGCTGTCTATCAGCTCCACCAGTGGGGCTACCTGACGTTACCTGACTTCCCGGTGCCAATGATGGCATACGGAAGACTAGTTACATCTGACTTCACCCGTTTAAAGACGTAGCCATCAACTGAATCTGAGATTCACTGTTTAGTGAATCCCGTACTTGAAACGCGTAATCTGGCTACGTTATTTACTGCCTTTAGGTTGTAAAGGCAAAGTAGTACTTAAGCAGTAATTTCTTTCCACTGGATTCGTGGGTTTTGAATACATAAAAACATACACCTGGTTGGCCCTCCCTTAATTACCCCCACTGTTAAACCGAGAGTCTGCATTCCTAGATATCATTTGCGTGGGCGTTTTGTTAATCCATGCCGAAGGCAACTCGGTTCTGCTAAAAGCCTCACTGAAAGGGGTCCTGACAATAACGGCAAAAATATGTATATGTAGCACACTTTAATAGTTTTTCACGCCCTTTGCAAATATCCAAGGAAACTGCCTTCATTATGAGAGCTGTTTGCTCTACTGGGTCTGTAAGGCAAAAAGTGCAAACACACGCATTCCAAGACATTGGGCAACACCGCCAGTTCAAATTCGTGAAATCCGTCGGCCGTGAAGGGCTAATAGCGAGCCGGGGCTGGGGGGGATCCTGCCTGGCTCGCTTGTGTCGGTATTTCAGCAGATCCGTCCGTCCCCCACCCAGTCCAGTTTCACAGCGGTTTGCAGACAGCGAACTGTAAATGGACATCAAGAGTACACGGAGGCCAACCACTTCCGTCAATTTACGAGAGTGCAACCACTGGCACAACAGCACAGTAATAAGCCCAGAGTGCGTGTGCAAATACTGGAAAAGAACAGATACGCGAAACGTGCGGTAAATACGGGAACCTGATCCCTTTTTTATCGATGGTTTTCCTGCTTTCGATATCATTAGCAATAATAATAACAATAATAATAATTAAAAAGAACAGCACTAACTCGTTCTAAACGGGATTCGTGCTGCTGCTAGCTGAAGACAGTCCCCATGTCCGTACCTGGTAGGTGGAAGTAGAGATCGGACTGCCGATGGTACTGCAGCCGCTCGTGAAGGACTCTGGCTGGGCCGGCGAAGCGCTGCTGCCACGGGAGGACGTGTCGTAGTTCCCGGGGTAATCCTGGTACATGATCGAGAGAAAGGAACAGGTTTCAGGCGAGGATGCAAACTCCGGGGGGCTCAGGGTTTTCCTTTTGCGTTTGCGGCTCAGTAAAGTCCAACGCGAACTGACTGCAGGCAATAACTTAAAAGTTCGTGAAGCAGACTAAAATAATCGCAGAGTCTCACGCTGGTAGTCCACAGATTGTGCACAAATGCTTCTTCGATTTCCGAATAATAAGGCGAGTGTTTTAAGAAAAAGAGCGACAAAATATTAGCAACATATGTCATTGGTTGCGCACGCCGACGTGTTTTTCCTCGTTTTGTCCCCAAAAGTTGAAAAATGGTATGGACATTGGATTACAGTGGACTGCAAGCTGCCCTGCTTGTTGGTTTTGTTTTTCCAGTGCGAAAAAACAAAAGCACCAGCCTGAGAACCGCTCTGTATTGTTGTCCTATTGAAAAAAAAAGAGATCGCCTCTGCCGCAGCGGTCGCTGGGTGAGCGGTGCCGAGTGTTCACCTGGGCACTAGGAGAACAAACGGGACGAGTCACACAGCTCTGTCAGCGGGTTCGCGAGTTCGCTCTGAACTGTAGCGCACTGTGCAGTCGATCTGCGAGTGACTCACCTCAAGTTGACGTTTACGTGCTACACTTTAAAGATTCGTTTTGTTGCGACACACTCTGCGCGTCTTTTTTTTTTAATTTGCCTCTATCCCTATGGAAATTCTGCCTGCTGTGCCCCCCCTCTCTCAAAATGTTGCCGACCGCCTGCGAAGATGACTCACTTCTATGGTATTACATTGAACTGAAACTCTCCTTATCAAGTGCCATGCGGACTCGCTCACGTCACCATGCTGGAGAGTGAGCTACCATCGTGAGATACTATTGGGGGAGCTTCGTCCAATATGGCTTACTATTCACCCGTAATGAGGGAAATCTAATCCCATTTCGTGCCTGTAATATTTAAGAAAAGATGCAAAATATCGTTTAGCATTTATTCTGTGCAATTTGTGTTGTCCTGTAGTTTAAATGCCATTATTACAGTTTTCCAGCACCCCCGTTCTGACTACTGCGCCGTCTTTGTTCCTCCTGATTGACGTAGGTTTCCAAAAATGGGCAGTTGCGTCAGAGCACACGCCGTGTGGGTTTCCTTGGTTTATTGAGACGTCAGAGACAGGAGGGATTCCCTCCTACCCCCCACCATCCTATTGCACTACGAGAATGAAAGGGTTCTGTGCCTTGGTGTGTGAACCTGCCATGCGGAGGTGTCGATGTATTACAAGAGTGAAACGCTAACGAGAAGCCTCTGCATAAAACCTGTTTTTCGCTCATCTGACTGCAAATTAAATCCTGCGGTACACTCAACGCGGAAGACGGTTTCCTGATCAATCACAAACGAACTTACGCGATATTATACACAGCAGCAAACGTTCCGTATGAAATTGAGGCTTAAATTTGTATTTGCTTTGAAATATGAATTTTCCTCCCCCTCACACACACATTTCATGCGTGGGCTCGCTTAATCTCTGAAGGGGAGAGATTAGCTTGAACTACATTGCTTTGAAGTGAAAGGTTTGCTTTTCTTGCAGAGGGGCTTTAGGAATTTAATGCTTGTCCATATCTGTAGCCCGAGGAACAGATAGATGTCGCCAGCGGTACAAGAGTGATTATCAGAGAAGTGCTGCCACTCTGTCAGTCCTCAACTACTTCAGCAGCTCATCTGATAACGCCGCCCACACCTCTTCTCTCTGGATTAACTGGATTTCTGAAGTGGTGGTCACAACAACGGATTACTACTTGCTGCGATCGCTGTGGGTTTGTACAATCTGAGTTTTTCTGATGTCCCCCTTCATCACAGCCGGCGAAGCGCTTTCTCACCTCCCCGCCTGATCCGGCTGCAGCCAGGTTCAAGGTGGGGGAGTTGGGCTGCACTTCCGGGGTGGATGCAAGGGGTCTCCTCATCTGTGGAAAGCGCTTTGGGATGGTTTGAGAAACCGAGGAAAGGAAAATATTATTATACGTCCGGCCAAGATCATTCCATGAGCATTATCTTCCTTTCCGCGAAAACAAACAGATCACTCCTCTTCGAAACAAGCGAAACAAACTGACTGTAAAGGAACAACAGTGTCAGTATCGTGTTAAGATGATGTTGAAAAAATAACGAGGCTATGTTTGTTAAAAATAGTCACATCCAGAATCACAGAAGCGCTAATATGGTGCACACCTGCTATAATAGCTACATATTTTCATAACAACTGGCCTTATCAAACGTGTCCTGACTCCACACAACTTCCCTCTCCCATCAACTTCTTCTGGATCTTGAGCAGTGTCGTGTAAACTACCGATAACTTCTCTTTCAACCCCACTAAAATATATTAATCTGAATCAATTTTTATTTTTATAATAAAAACCTGTTTTATCGTGAGCGTACTGACGCACTATGACTGCCTTCGCTTCATCCAGGTGGGGCTGGACATTGGTGGTGGTGTGGGTGGGAGTCCCCATGAGCTGTAAAGCGCTTTGAGTGGAGCGTCCAGAAAAGCGCTATATAAGTGTAAGGAATCGTTTCATCCGTCTGGCGATCTATATAAACATTTTTCTTATTCTGGTTGATATAAGCAAGGAGGGCGACACGCTGTCGAAGAGGTTAGCATTGCTTGGTGGATTCAATTACGGACCTGGGATGCTACGTGGAGTTTGTATGTTCTCTCCGTGTTCCTGTGGGTTTCCTGTAAGGAGCTCTGATTTCTTCCAACAGTCCAAAGACATACTGGTAGGGTAAATTGGCTCATGGGAAAATTCTCCCCAGGTGTGAGTGTGTGCATATTTGTGTCTGGATGGGCCTTACCGGGTGTGTCCCGAAATGTGCTATGTACGTGTAAGCAATTATTATTAATTACAATGGTCTGTTGTCCAGTACAGCGTATACCTTGCCTTACGCCCGTTGCTTGCCGGTTCCATGGGTCGCTGAAGATGCGGTGTGAAAACGGATGGAAGAAATTCGCACATAAAAAGACTCTTCCCTTGAGTTGAATCTGTTTCAAGAAAATAACCATTGCTGCTTTACGGACGGTCAGAGCTATATTCGAGTACCACTTCTTTATAATCGGCTACAATTAAGAAATAACTTATTCTTTCCGTTACCTTTGTTATTATTATTATTAGCCTACTACGAACCCGACAATTCACACACGAATAAAAACATTCGAAGAGGGAGTATAGCAGTAAAAACCAATCAAAAAAGTTAGAAATTAGAATTCTGTCAGATCCATATCTTTCAGTCGAAGCTGAAAGAACACTTTGGACAGTCTGAAAGTTGGAAAGTATGAACTAAAATCCAATCTTGAACGGTTTCTATTTTTAAGGTCGAATAACATAACCGGCACATTACACAGACTAATTCTATTCGATACACTTTGTTTTGCCAACTTTGCGCAAAGAGCGAATCCCGCAGATGTCTCGGGGGTTTGGGTACCACTGGATGTAATCCTAAATCTGAGCTTCCTTATAATATGAAGAAAATAGTTTTACAACGCCGCCGTTTCTTTGTGCAGATAATTCAGGTAACAAAATGAAGGTGTTCAATCTATTCGCTTTTTTTTCCTTCCTTCCTCTGAGGAGTTCGTGATTACTGTAAGGCAGAGGATGAACTAGCTTGTGAATTACCCCGCTGACAATACAGTAAAATACAAAATTAGCACCATACAATTGTGTGGTGCATAATAATCCCACAATTTCTTTGAAAAAAGTTTTCCGCGGCGTTGTTTTGTTTTCTTACAGTGATAAATCATACTTTCCAGTCACGCTTTTAAACCCGAGTCTGTCTGCCTGATCCTGTCGCCCCGCCGCGCTCACAGGAGGAGACGGAATGGAAATCGCGCCTCTACCTGGCTAGCGGCGCAGGGGCGGGAGGTGGGGACTGGGGAGGCGACGGGGGTCGGCAGCGGAAACCAGCTGTCACAGTGTGCTCTCGTGGCTCGCGGCTGGCAGGCGCGCACGTCATGGGCCGACAGGAACCGCGTGGGTCACTGTTCTAATTCGACTCCGGGCCCTCGAGTTCTCTCCACGCCGCAGAGGCCGAGACGAGGCCGCCCTGCGATCTGTGATCTCCCACATCCCGCAGATACGAATTCTCGATAAATCCCACAACTAAAGGAACTTCTGTTCTTTAAAAAGAAAGACTTGCTTTCTCAGGTATAACAGTAGGTGTGCTTGGGCGTTTCCTTCACATCTTCTTTACCTTGTAGAGTGTTTTTTTTTTCATTAGGTATCAATAATACAGTCACGTAAAGTGACTGCACAGAAATGTGATACTTGAGTTAGGGAACTACAGGCTCAAATATAAAGTTAACTGTGAAAGTGTGTGATCCTCATGCATGTAATAGGAGTAAAGTTATTAATTAGAAATTAATTGAGGAAGGAACAGTTACCGGCACGTCTGCGAGAGACGGCCGATAAAAGCGATCACTCAAACACTCATTTCGAACTTCGAATTTGCCCTACTCCACTTGCCCCCTCGTGTTAATTATGACTCATTCTTCAAATAAATGTTCATGTTGTCGTTTCCATGCATTAACGTTTCTGTAAATAAAAACAGTCGTCTTGTGCAGACGTGTCATCCTTGCTGGTAACTCTTAAGTATGCATGATGTGAGGGATGACGCAGATCGAGCCTGTGCAATGCTGGCAAGACCATATCTTTTGTAAGGGGTCCCCTGGCGATGGCCGCGAGGACGGGCGACCACTGAGATTTCGAGGCACAGCCGCCCAGGAAACCCGGATTCGTCCCATTTCAGTTGATGC